CAGGCCTTTCCTTGCCCACCCTTCCTCCAGCCCAGACAGGCCCAAACCAGCCCTCCCCACTGTCTAGAAATGAAGCACTCCCGCGGTGCTTCCCTGCCCTTCCTCATGAAAAGGACCTCTCCTTAACTCCCTCCAATCCATCCACATGGAAAAGGCTTCCCAACAGACCTCAGCTGCTCAGAGGCACCACATCTACCCCATCTCCCCAAAGGAATTTTGAACTTCCTGTGCACCCACGCAGGGCAGGATCTCACCATTGACATAGGGCTTGTACAGCGGATGGTTCTTCTCCTTGGCACCACGCTCTATTCTCAGTGTCGCCCACTGCAAGACAGACAAGACAACCACGAGATGGCACAGCAAGATTTCCTGCAGCTTCCATGACCTCTTGGCTCTGCTGCACCTGGCACGTGGTTGCCACTGCACAGCTTCTGGCTGAACTGTGCATCCTGCTTGGGTGGTCTGCACCACGGTGGAGGAAGCTGCTCAGGGGACCAGAGCTATTTTTCAACCTTGTTTCTTCCAAACTCAAAGCAGAGACTGTGTTTTCAGGTTGCTGCTGAAAACCCCAGGCTGATGACAGGATGGGATCCTTTCCCCTCCAATTCAACTGATGACTGCTGCTGCTTCTCAGCTCACCAATCCACCCTAAACAGCAGCAAGCACCCTCAGACAGCTGGCTGCCAAATCCCATGTCTGGACTACCTGTTCTCTCAGCTACTTTTCAAGGGCACCAGCACAAACTGCAGGCTGGATTTCTGGGCAGCCTTCCTGCCTGCCCTCTGAGAAAGCTCCGCAGCCCGTAACTCCTTGCATCACCCAGGCCTGGGAGGACAAGCTTGTATACAACATGCTTATCTGTGAGGGAGGGGAACTGCTGGGAACTCCTGGCATCCTGCTCTCAGGAGGCAGCGATGTGGGAATGCTGATTGCACACGGAGTGTCTGGCTCACCTCGCACCGCCTCTGCCAGCAGCAGGAACTGCAGGATTGCAGAAGACTGCCTAGACACTGCCATCCCAAGAGAAGTCAGCAGAGGAGCTCTGACCCCGCAGGAGCTGAGCAGCCTATGGAGAAGGCATTCATGGCAAGCCCAGCACATCTCCATCCTGACTGCAGCAGCAGCAAACCCACCTGGGCAGCAGCAGGCAGGTCCCTCCCTCCCCACCAACACGGGTGTGTCGCTGCCAGACAGGCCCCGTGGCTGTGTCCCACCAATTGCCAGACCAGGCTGCTGCCCCTCTGGGTTCCCAACACTGGCCTCAAGAGCTGGGAAAATCATCTGGGCAACTAATGGCCCCCAAACATGCAATTCTGAATGACCAAACTTAAGGAGTGAATTCCCACCAACTCGGGGAGCAGCTGTGTGTGAGTGCTCCTCTATCCCACCACTAAGATTCTTTGATAAGAGCTGAAATACACTTCCCACTCTCTTCAGAAAAATAGGTTCAAACACCAAAATAGGTGTTGAGAGTAAATGTTCCTGAATTGAAGGTGAAAAAGAAAACAAGGTGAAAAGTTCCATTTCAGATAAACCAAACTTCTTATTTTTCCCCCTGCTTCAGTCAGTAAATTTGAAGTCAGGTCTTCAGACATCTGTGTTAGCAAAGCCCCTCACAAAGACCAGGGTCTTCCCTCAGGCTTCTGGGGGGACTGAGAGTTTAAAGAGCTGAACACTATGAGCTCCAGGGCTGGCTTCCCAAGCCAACCAGTACAGTTATATCCCAGCCAGAAATACTCTGAGGATGACCAGCCCTGTTCAAACAGCAGCAGCTGTACCATAAACCCTTTAGCAGCATGAACTCCACATTTAAGAGCCTAAAACCTCCCCAGCAAGCACAGGGTGCCCCTTTACCTTTCACCTGGGCTGCCAGGGTAGGGTGCTGTAGGCTTTACCTGCTACTCTTAGCAGATAAAAAATTCTGGTCAGGGCCTTGCTTCAAGGAGAGGTGTTGGCTCAGAGACAGCCCACAAAATTAGACCGCCAAAGGCAGGCAAGGGAACAGCATGACCCCAAGCTGGAAAATTCCACTTGGCCTCTCTGTGCCAAGAGGGTCGGCAAGGGCTGCTGGTCGTCCTCTGAGGTGGCAGGACCAGACAGGGCTCAGCAGGCGACACTCCAGGACAGAAGCATGTTGAGAGCTCTGGGTTCTGGCCACAGACCACTCAGGGCTTGCAGGACAAAAGTCCTGCCTTACCTCCTGCTTTTGCTTTGTCCAAACATGTCCTGGAGAGGAGCAACCTGCTGGCTGCAGGCTGGTCCCTCCCCATCACCCCACATCGAGGGCTACCAGAACTCTGCCCTGTCTGGGACAGGAACCCCTCCAAGCCATCCCTCAGCACCCCTCAGACCTGCTGCATCCCTGCTGGCTGCCCAACCTCACCAGCCTGTTTCTTCACTTGAAGACTTACTAGATTAATCAGAGGGAAAAACCAGCCCACAGACAGATGTCTGGTAAACCACAGTTGGCCAAGATGAGCCAAATGGGTCATCTGGCCCCAGCATGACACCAACAGCCCAACCTTCCACCCTGGTCATCCACGATGCCCTGATGAGGCAAAAGCCTCTCTTCCCAGCACGACCACGCTTGACAAAACCCCTGCAAACACACAGAAAATTCTGAAAACACGACTTACCTGAAAAATTTTTAATAAAGTTTTCATGTAAACCTTGCGGATGCCAAAGGAGACTCCAAAAATTGCTGGCACGATGATGAAAACCAGAAGCAGAGTGAAGAGAACAGTTATGGAAATCCCCAAGAGATTAACCACCAGGCTGTCAAAGGGCAGCAGGAGGAACATGGTGAAGGGCCCAGGCAAGGCCGGGGCCCTGCAGCCAGACAGAAGGACTGCCTGCAGTGATGAACCAGTCCTCCTGTTACTGAGCAACAGTCTCACACACGCACCGAGTCCGCAGCCCGCTCACAGACCCCATTCCAAAGTTCACATCCTTTTGGGGCTCTGAGAGACAGGGAATGCAACGGGATCAGGGAGAGCACTTGGGAGAAGAAGCCAAGAGTGTGCCAGGAGGCCGGGCGAGCCGGGGCAGCGCGGGCCGAGGAGCTCAGAGCAGAGGGCACAGGCACAGCGGCCCGTCCATGGGCGCGCGGGGGGCACGGCAGCGACACGACCGCGGGTCCCCTCCCAGGCTGCTGCCCAGCGAGTCCTGCAGGGGGGCAGCTTGTGGAGGAGCTGGCAGCAGAATCCCCTCCCGGCTGCTGAGAGCATGCAGAGTCTCTTCAGAGGGACAAGGTGGAGTCCATCCCTGAGCCTGCATTGGAGGAGATGGAGGGAGTTGGCACTCGCCGGAGCCTACCCTGTGTGGAGCTATTATTGTTCTCCCCACGAGGACACGGGTGCCGGCGCAGGGCCTCGCATGACGCCTGGAACGGGTTCAGTTCTGGAGGCCCCTGGCATCCACTCACGCTGAAGGGCTGTTACAGACACGAATGAAGCCTGTGTCGCTGGGAAGCTCTTCAAACAGCGCGTTGGCTTCTTGGCAGACGAGGCACTCACGTGCCAGCAGCGGCAGCGGAGGAAAGAGCAACCCAAGTCAGCAGCTCGCAGAGATGTCAGCGCAGAGATGGTGGCAGGAGGCCAGGGACAGTGGGCTCTGGAACCTGGAAGGCAGTGCTTGAGTGAGGTCACACCACTGAGAGAAGCTCCTGAGACACAGCAAGACTCGGACCAGGACTCCAGCTACTGCCTGGCACTGTCACACACTCAGGAATCACCCCCTGCTGCCACTCGTCCTGTGTTTTCATACCAGTCCTGTATTTTCATACCACGCACACCTCAGACTCAGGCAGAGCAGACTCATCCACAACCGTGCCTAAGGCACGGGAGGCTGCAATCAGGTTCCAAGTACAGGAAAGGAGTGACAGAAAGCCCTTCCTTGTGACAGATCTTATCGCCTCCCTCATTTCAGGGCATCCCAGAGCACTGAGGAGGCGAGGTACCCAAATTCCTGGGAAGGCATCACTTCCTCTGCTCCTGTACATCTCATCCTCGGTCACACAGGGCAGCTTTACAAACAGTTCAGGACAGGAAGTTACCCCAGGGAGAGAATTACTGATGATGATTAGCCAAAGAGGAATTTGCTGGGGCACGGGGACCAGTGAAAAGGTCACACACCCTGCACTGCAGCCCTGCTGAGGGAGAATGTACATGCACAGGACCAAGGCTTGTGACAACAGTCAAGTCTGCTCGGGGGAGACTCCCCTCCAGACACCACCTTCACCTGGCTATGGAGTGTCAGCCTGACGATGGGATTTAACAGGTACCTGCCAAGCACACAAGGCAGAGGAGAGCCTGTGAAGATCCTCTTGCTGCCCTGTACAGCGTGTTCCAGCTGCTGGTTGAACACGGCTGTACCAGTAACGCCAAGAATATGGTAAGTGCTTCAAAGACACACGCACAGACCATGTCCTGGGAGAGGCAGCTCGTCAGCCACACGTGCCCATTATGCCGGAGCCGTCACCCATCCGAACCAGGACTCACGCCGGCGAACAGGTCAGACCGGCCCCCCGAGCCGGGGACGAGGCCCTGCGAGGGCTC